CAAAACAGACCTTTACCGGCTAAACCGCTCGAGGAGTCATCCGAAATAATAATTCCTAATGAATTTGGAACTGCTCCGTTAAAAGTGAAGGAAGTTCTTGGAAATGCCAAAGCCGAATGGACTCTTAGACACTTTTTAGGTACAATAATTACACGAAGTACAGACTCACTGCAATTCTAGAAAAATCGTAATTCAAATTTCAGGAAGTGGTAGCTTGTTAGCAAAAAGTTGCCAAGCTGCTTTAAAATTAGCTAATCATCCTGAGGAATTTCAAAAACTGGGATACCTATTTGGAAGAAACATGGCTCTAGGATGGCAAGCGTATTTCGACTTGGAATGTTTCGAGGAAGGGTGCAAAAAACCATTTGATCTGATATCGGGTAATTAATAAAAACTCAGCCGAGTGAATCGAAATCGAAAATCTTTACAGATCCATAATTTTAGCTCCGATCTTGTTCCATTTACAACATGATCCTGATTTCTACGCAGAAATTCTAAAAGGCTCTGAAGACGTACGGAACTGTGACTATGATAGGATAAGGGAATTGGTGCAATCGGGACCTGGGCTTGAAATGACTCGCCAATTAAAGCAAAATTTTGTAAAGAACTGTTTTGATATATTAGACGAATTCCGAGCAACGGACGCAAAACGAGCTTTAGTAAATATATTAAAGGTTTTATAATGTTCATTGTAACTGTAAATTTTGAGTACTGATAATCTGAAATGTGTACAATACGAGTTTGTTATTTTCCAATCTTTACACTGTGATATGTGCAATAAATATTGGACAAAGCCATTTTAAGTATAAATTTCAAATGTTTTATCAGAAATTAATAAGTTTTTGATTTGGCCATAACAGGTTGCTTCTGAATTGTTCCTATCCTAAAGTATTATCTAAAATCCACCCAAGACACAATTAATTTTTATTGTATATGCATATGTAAAATGTACAAAAATATATTTATTTCTCCCATTCCCACGAATAAAAAATGTATGCATTTATTCTGGTATCACTTAAATAATTAAAAATTTACAATGCAATGCCAAAAAAGCTAGGAACATTGCTATAAAATATGGTAAAAGCACTTATCACAGTAAATAGTTTGGTGACGAAGTTACGCCGGATAAAACTTTTCAAATAAACGCTCAAATCCCAACATTCCCGCAAACAAAACTAAAAAAAGATGCAGTGCAAAACTAAAAAAAAAAACGAAATATCGCAATCATTTACTTGGTTTGAGATAAATGCGGTAAAACTTACCGGAGGTCTACGATTCTTGCACGGCAGCAATAATATTAGCCAAGGCTGTCCTTGCATCTGAAGCTGGAAGTTCGTTCAGTACTTTGAGTGCTGCCTGCGAATGTTCCTTTTGAAGTTTTTTTGTTAGTTCTAACCCTGGCCCTTCCAAAACCTACAAATCATATTCTTGGAGTGTAGCAACATCAAATCGCAGCGAAGAGAATGATAGTTCAACAGTTCATAGAAACTCAGTGAATGACAAAATATTGCAAAGAATCGAAAAACAAATGCACTGATATTTAACTGTTTTGTTAGTTTGTTTAAAAATACTTTTATGAAAAATGTTTGCAATTTGTTTGTCAATAGGCGCGTAATAGTACTTGAGCATTAACCGATTTTATTCGAAAAAATAACATTTTATTGGTATCGGAGTAAAATTGATCAAAAAAGTAGATACTTACCTCCGCCCTAAGCAGATCATAGTCGACCTCGTCGACGTTTTCGAGTCCTTTCTCAATATGTTCGTAAAGTTCCGGTTTATTTTGTAGAGTGAACATCAGAGGAGCGCAAACCAGACTGAAAGACCCACTGGAGCCTGTAATAAGAAGCAAATTAAAGCTACAACATTTGTGTTGAATAACTTGATCTTGGATATAAAAACTGATCAGACAAAAAACTAATCTCTTACCAGGTTGAAAGGGTTCCCTATCTAGACATGCCTGCCAGGCTAAGGCTAAATGTTTTCCGAATAGATAACCCTTTTCTTGTAGGTCCTCCGAATGACCCGCTAGTTTCAATGTACCTTGACAAGATTTTCCAAGGAGCGAACCTAAAGAAGTAACGTTTCCAGTAGTAATCTTGGCAGTTGGTACTTAAAACAACTTACCAGCATTTAAAACGTTCCTCAACGTCCACTCAGCCTGCGCATTTCCTAACGCCTCACTCACAATTAGTGGCTCCAAATTATTTTCTATAAACTGTTTGTACTCCACTTGTTTCGCTTTTGGTTTGGCCGGCAACGGATTATTCTGTCGGTCTCGGGGCCCAACAAACTCGGCCTCCGTTAGATCTCTCACTGCCGAACTCATCAGTTCTACTAACTCCTGGTTTCTGAGGTTGGCCAATTCTATACTGCTGTAATGTGCAATAAAGGAGGCTCGGTTAAAATGCATTAAATGGTTTAATGCGATAGATACCTATTACTTAGTAAATAGTCGCCACTTAGTAGAGCGATTTTATTTCCAAACATCATATCGCCGCTTGCGTCTACATTATTTGGTGGCTGCAAATTAACCAAGCCTTTATGCACCAAGTGACTTGTTCTGATCATTTCTGTTACTTCAGCTAGTGCCCTCTGGCTATGTAGAACACCTGAAGTCAAAGAAAGTGGAATGGAGCTTAGTTTTACCGTCTAGCGGTCGCAAGAATTGTTTTATAAAACTAAATGCTAAGCTTCTGAAAACAATTTTTGTCAAACAATTAACTAGGAATTTCCGAGTGGTAAATTGCAATTTAAAGCAATCTATCAATAGATCTAAGTAAACGCTTCCAGGGAGCAAGTTAAGTGACAATAAACAACTCAACATTCAGTTAAACACGACAAAAAAAAACACCCACTATTGAAATTCTGGAATAAATCCTAATATGCACACGGAATATTTAAAAGATAAATTAAGTACCTGCTGCCTTGTCTTGTTCCATGTCAGGAATATCTGCAGAATGTCCGGCAGCTTTGGAAATCAGCAGCACAATGAGGCCCCAAGCTTGCATATTGTTCTTGCCATTGTAGAGTAATCCTCTGAAACAAACCAAAACTATAATCACATTTAGGAAAATGTGTAGCTTTATAAAATTGAACCAATGCATTAGCGATTATGTATGTATATTGCAGTACATTTCTGTTGATAGATCGAATCGACGGCACTTAAAAAGTCTGGAAAATACATACCAACAGACACAAAAAAACAATAATTTATGATTTTTTTTATCGTAGTGTGTACTTGGCATTAATTTGGCTTTGTTTAATAACTGTATAAGAAAAACATACAAAAACCTGTTTAAAAAGATCTATGAACGTCGTGATACGCGATTGATTAATGTCGAGTTCATATTTTATATTTGTAGATATATGGAGTGTCCCAGAACAAATGAGAAATCCCTCGGGTTCAGATTTTTTAGATTGTCAACTTATTCCGGGACACCCTATATATTATTCATTTGACTAAAAGTCTATCGGATAAAAAAGGTTTCGCTTGCCAGAAAGCTTTTATTCGAAGTATTAGGTGCGCTTAGACGATTTAGAATTACCTCCGAAGACATATCGATGCAAATAAATTAGAATAATATAATATAATAAATTAGAATAATAATGGGCTTGTAGTCCCCAAATTGAAAACTGACAGGTTCATCAACAGATACAGGAGCAGGTACTAACGAAACGCTAAAATTTAGGATTGATGCCATTATCACTAATAATAATAGCAAATGTGGGACTTAAAATGTACAAATCGCGTCATGACTAATCAAAACAATGTTAAGTGGGTCCAATGATATTTTTCAAGCCGGCGACAGACTTGAAAATAAGTAGACGCACTCATTATTTACCAAAAACATTCTAAGTGCAAATCAAATATAAACACCAAGATTAGAGACGTTTAGAGACGATTAGACTCGTGTTCGCATTTGGGACCAATGCCAATAAAACTTGTCCAATTCCGCAAGTTGTAAGTTTATATGAAAAACGACTGGGTAGAAAACTTTAAGAAATAAAGTTTCATGCGTTAAAAATGTTTGAAATCATAACTTTTCTGTATTCTCTAAACAAATTATTACCTTTGCTACTTATTTTCCAACAAAATTGAGAAGCAAATCGGGATATTTATAAATCTTTAATTGATGATCTAGAAATGATTCTTCTGATCTAGAAATAGGTAGTATTTTGGGCAATGTATAGGGGGTGTTATTTAATGGCTTTTTATTTCAATGAGTTATTCTTGGGCTACTTGTAAGTCATCAAAATTAGTGATAAACAGACTTAAAAAGCTTGTCATTCAATACGCGAGATAAAAAATAAATCACATATTTTATGTACAATTTGCATTCTTGCCCCAAGTACATATATTAGAAAAGAAAGGTTCAATAGCAAGTGCAGAATTTAAAAAATTTTTTTTTTGAAATAGTAAAAATAAATTGAAGATTGCTGTGAAGAAAATCTTGTGTATTCTTATGCAGCACTTTCTCATCAATAGCTGGTCAAATAAAATTGTTGTTTTTTAAATAGGCACATGCAAATTGTTAGTTTTCTTTGTTTTACAAATTGTCTTGCTTTTGCGACTGTATAAATGAATAAAACAGAAAAAGCGCCACTAAAATAATACTGCGTAATGACAGTCGGTCTAAACTTAAGAGATTAGAAATATGTGTAAAAAAATGTTTTTTGCACAAAAATGCATATTGCGTGTTAACCTTTGAGTCCGTAAATATCTTACCTAATTTCCAAAGAATAATAATTAGATTTGTAACTCATAAGCTATAACATCCTTTGCAAATGATAAAATGAATCAATCAAAATGCGACCAAAGGTAAAAATGTATGTATATTTCTGCAAATGGTTGCAAATAGAAGTTCAAAAGTAATGTTTTTCGTAAACAATCTTGTGAGAGCTTTGATCTTCAAATTTATCTTTTATCTAATACTTCTAGTTTTAGTTGCTTCATTGCAAACTTCTGCATTAAATATGGAAAATTTGTTTGTCAGTCACACCTGTTGAAAATTCGTTTTTATTAGAAGAAAATACATATATTTTTTAATTAAATGTGAGTAATAATAAATAAATATTCAATTGCAAAAAACTGATCAAAACAACTTTCCAATAATCAGCTCTTGGAAAAATACTGTCATTTTCATCTGAAAGTTATTCAAGTGATGATTCAGTTAATTTTGTCCTCTTAAGATCAGAGCGCAAAAAGATAAAATGTAATTTTTAATTACCAATTTATCCAAATATGAAAACTAGGGGGGATACAGGGTGTTAATTTATTACAGAAAACACTCGATGGCAACGGCAGCCTTCCAATTTGTGATTTTAATTATCTGCTTAGAAACTACGCTAAATATGGGAAATAAAAAGCGTATGGATTAAGAGGTTTTAAAGCGGTAAAACACCTGCGAAAATATATATTTTCGGATTTTCATAAAATTGTATAAATGTAATATTTAAATTTTTATTTTTCTGTGACGAATTTCCTTATTTTTTGTGATTAAAGTAAAACAAGAAAAAATATCAAAGAACTGAAAAACCCCCATGAAAAGAAAGCCTGAAAGACCGACAAACTCACTTGTTTCAAACAATGTTTGCGATTTTTCAAAAAGCGCTCTTTTGAGTAAGTTACTTATTAATATTCATATTAACGGTTTATTCGTAACCATTAGACCTGCGAAATACCAATAAAATGTAATTAAATTACACGGGTAATCCAAATAGAATAACAAGATTATGAGTCGTTGAAATGTTTCCGTTGTAGAAGATTTTTCGAACACAAAAATGTTCGTGTAACTGCAGATAAAATACTCACTTCGCTGTTTTTAAAAGGGGATGATTGGATCCAACCAATTTCCTAAGATGCAACGCTACATTGGCAATTTCATCACTCAGTAGCCAGCGTAGGCTCAGAAACGATGTTGGATATCCAACAATTTTTTCAGCTTCACTTACAGCTCGATTCCAATCAGGTTTCTTTTCTTGAGCTAACTTTGCAAACTGAACGTCCGAAGAAGATAAGTGTCGTCTGGGTTTATAGATGCAATCACCACTATTTGTTACCACTTTTGCACTTGCAAGTAGATGTTTAGGCAGAAATTTTGGACAAAAAATCTTCGACAAAGACATTTTCCAGCTTGCACGAAACGGAAATGTAAACGGAACGGTACCGAAGAGGTGCAAATATTCGGAAAACGAAAGCTATCGATGGCGCAAGTGAAAGCTGGCCTCGATATTTGCATTTAAATTTCAAGACAAGTTGTGTTTTGTTACTAAAATTGCCCACCACTTGTTGAATGCATTTACCGACCTACTTCCCAAGCAACAGCATCATTGCGTTACAAGTTAGACAGAAACAGAACTTATGCGGCACTATTTTTATCAATCATACCATAAGCACTTATTAGATATGATATCTAATAAAGGAGCCCATACATTGTAAAAACATTGTATATTTTTCCAATGTATGGCAATGTTTGATGCGTGGCGCAATTGTCTCACTAGTTCAAAAATGTTTCAACTATCTTGCGCAAAATAGAGGAAGATTTACTCCCAACGACCGGCAAGGACGCAACACCACAACATTCTTATTAGATAAGTCAATGGTGGTGTTCTAGGCCTGGGTAACACTGTGTTGAGTTGCGCTATTGAGTTGTTGCCGCTCTATGAGTTAACGAGTTGTAACTCATCGGTTCATAAGTCATTTATTAAAGCTTTACGAGACCCGAGACTGAAATTTTCATATCTAAGAAAAAGGTCGTTAACATCTTTTCTGAGTAACGTTTTACTACTTTATTCACACTACAAAAAAGTCATCTAGATTTTCCCAGGAACAGAACAGAATCCGAAGAAAGTCGACGAGTTTGCGTGTAAAATCGATCTCTTAATTTTTTTGCATAAAAGATTCAGTTTGCCAGTATTTTACAGTAAAACGGTAGGAAAAACGTGGTTTTTCTGTTTAGAGACAGTGTTGTTTAGAAATATTGACCTAAAACTGAAGAAACCCCAGTTTCCAAGAGTTTTCCAAATAAATGATTATAAACTTTCGCCCTCTCAGATCGGGAAAATATTTTTGGAAAAACACCTAGAAATAATTATTACGGTTTTGTCCATACTTCGAAGCCGCAAAAGGTTTCCCAAAAATTTTTGCAAATCGGTTAAGGAGGCCAGTGCTCAAATAAAACATATCGTATAATTTTTCACAGAAAATATCTGAAAATTGTTAGTATTTTAACTACATAATAATGCAATTTTTGCGTAGAAAAAATTGCTTAATAAAAACTTTGTTAAAACTAGAAAGAAACTACATATTTTCAGAGCGATGTGGCCGGCGAATTTTCCAAATACTTTTTTGTTAACTTTTGCTCTCTGATCGGTTTTTTCAAGATAATCCTAATTGATTTCGATAAAAAACTGAATAAAATTATTTGGAGTTCGAAGTGTTTAAATTCGAAGCTGAAAAGGATTTTCTAAAGTTCTAAAAACCGATAAATGAGGCGAATTTTCAAAATTAATTTTGTCATTTTGGCTGAATAGACCCCATTATTGTCAGAAAAGAAGGAAATTATAAAAAAATAATGGTTTTTTGCGTTTTCGATTAAAAACTTTTAGTTTTGTGTTTTTCAAAGTTTTTGTAAAATGTTTACAAAACTATAAATTTATCTTGTAATTTTTCGCGTAAAAGACCTCCAGATCGTCAATATTTTTAAGTGAAACTACAAAATAGAGCGTTTTTCTATCTAATCTAAAAAAACAGGTTTTTTTAACAAACTACAGTCTTCGGAGGAATTGAGTCAACGAGATTTCCAAATTATCTGTTATAAACTTGCGCTTAATCTGTTCGTTTTTCAATAGAAAATTATTTTATTTTTTGCTTCAAATTCGACGTTCAAAACTTTTTACAAAGCGACCAAGGATTAGAAATTTTTTTCATAATTTTTCACGAAAAATACTTTGTTTGGCAGCATTTTTAAGTGAAACTAGAAAATCGAGCATGTAGAAGTAAAGAAGGAAGCGGGGGTGTACACACTGAAGAAAATCCAATCAAAGGAGATGCAAACTTGTATTATAGTTTGTATGATCGCACACTATCGACTATCTATAATACAAATTTGCATCCCCGATATTTGATATTCAAGGGTAAAATTACATCATATACCCTTTAATAATTTAATTATTCGTTGTAGAACTTGTACTTATTTTTTGAAATCCTTTATTTCAATAGACATTTAAAAGTTTTTTTCTAAGATTGTCTGCAAAATATTACTTGTATCGTCATATAAGCTTTTTTGTAACTTCCGTGTTAGGCCTGGGTAACACTGTGTTGAGTTGCGCTATTGAGTTGTTGCCGCTCTCTGAGTTAACGAGTTATAACTCATCGGGTCATAAGTCATTTGTAAAGCTTTACGAGACCTGAGACTGGAATTTTCACATGTAAAAAAAAGTTATTAACATTTTTTTAGAGGAACGTTTTACTACTTTGTTTACACAACTAAAAAAAGGTCATCTCGATTTTCCCAGCAACAGAACTGAGTCCAAAGAAAGTCGACGAGTTCTCTTGTAAAATCGATCTCTTCATTATTTTGCATAAAAGATTCAGTTTGCCAGTATTTTACAATAAAACGTTAGAAAAAACGCGGTTATTCTTATTAGTTGAAATATTGTTCTAAAAGTGAAGAAACTCCAGCTTCTAAGAGTTTTCCAAATAAATGATTATAAACTTCGCTTTTTCAGTTCGGGGAAATATTTTTGGAAAAAGACCCAGAAATATTTATTAGGGTTTTGTCAATAATTCGAAGCTGCAAAAATTTTTGCAAAGCGGTTAAGGAGGCGAGTGTTCCAATAAAATGTACCTTATAATTTTTCACAGGAAATACCTGAAGATTGTCAATATTTTAAGTAAAACTAAAAAATAATGAGTTTTGTGCGTAGAAAGAATTGGAAAGAAGAAAGAAAGAATAGAAACTTTGTTAAAACTGGAATGACCTGAAAATGTAAAGGAACTTTAAAAATCTGCAGAGCCATGAGCGATGAAAAGCAAATTTTCAAAATAATTTGTTAAAAAACTTTTGCTCTAGTCGTTTTCGGTTTTGGAGAAAACCTTAATGGTTTTCGGGCAAAAACAAATCAAAATATTTAAAGCTTACTTACAAAAGTACAACAAGTGACAATGAAAAAGTAGCAAATAGTCTAAGATTATTTGTATTGTTTCATGATGTTTATTATTATTTTCTAATTTAATTACTATTATTGTTATTATTAAATTAATTCCGCCTGCTAATTGTAATTTTTCTGCTTATATAAAAGCAAGACTTGCAAGAGTCTTGCTGTAAAACCAAGGCCTCTTAAGACCAAGACCAAGACTTAACATGCAAGATCAAGACTATGTATGCAAGATCAATCGATCTTGACAGTTAATTAAATTAACAATTTTAATATTCTTCGATACATCCGCTAATTGCAACAATTTTATGAAAGACGTACGTTAATAACTTCAAATTTTCGCCCGCTGGATGGACAAGCAACAGAAAATAACGACAATTATTGCGTCACTGCCAAAAAGTTTGGGACAGGCTAAACAAGGTATTTTTATTTTTAAAATCGCACGCGATTTAGTCACTAACTAGATAACTACCAATGATTTTCTTTACCGTAAAATGGAAAAAACTATTTATTATACCCGAAAATCAGCAGGGCCAAATGCGGATGGGCCACTCCAACACTGAATCACAGCTTATTTATGCTTTGATATTAATGACACTGCGTAGTAAACGCAGTCACTGAACAGTTAAATGCCTCGAATTGCACATGCACGTATCCTACCTCCGTCTCGCTTGCACTAATAGGAGTCTGGCCCCATTGAAAGAGATACCGTTGGCTGTTGTAAAGAGGCAAAAGTTTTTGGCGACGTCTTAAAAAAATCCGGCTCTCTCACTGTGGAAGTGTGGTTCGTTGAGTACGTATGCTTCTGCCTGCTATTGACATTCAGCGAGAAATCGTAAAATAAACTCAAATATCTGCCTGCATTTGGTCGAAGTTTTACAAGTTTTGCCGATTTGTCGGCATTTCTGACAAACATTTTCCTTGATTAGAGATTTTGTGAACTGTTTTATTAGTGGTTCGCCTGTGTCTAAGGGACTTTCGGAACTTGTTTCCAAATAAGGGTGTTCTGCACTTACAAATCACTTTTGGGTAAGTTAAATAAATAAATTGCAATTTCGTGAGGAGTAATTGCAAATGGAAATATGTGTTACCGTAGCCGGCAATCGTGTTTTTCACATAAACACGCATTCTAGACGACCATTCCTGTCTAAAAATAGGATATTTGCCCCAAATTACATGCAAGATCGAAAGTTTTATTATGCTTTTACTAACAATCTACGTGGGTTAGAGTTGGGTTTCATTGCAATAAACCGGTTTTATGGTAAATTTGATTGCGCAACTCTTATCTGGAAAATCAATAGGATGCCGGGTTACCTATTTTCTTAAATTCGTCCCTGGATTATAGGTCAGAAAAACAGGGTATAGAACGATGTGGGAGGTGGGAAATATTGATATTCTGCCTATCTCGCCCCCTCTCACACAGTTCCTCTACTTGAAAATGTTGTTTGCTACGTTTACTTGGGATGTTTCCATTTCCATTGATGAATGATGGATGAATGACCGAAGTAATACAACGATTAAAGAACAACTGTAGGAATTCCTAGCTGTTTGAACAAGAAACGTTTACATTCACACTATCTTATCAATGTTTTATGGGCGATAATTATAGGAAATGGCTGAACATAAATCCAATTCCCAAATCTTCCACTTATGTGATTAAATGCACCTTTTAGCAGCCATGGTTTTTTATACCCGAACCAGAAACCAAAAATGAAGTGAAATAATGCATGATTAATGAAATAACAAATAATGTCGACCGACCAAAATTGGTCGAAATGGTGTTGCAACTTTGTGAACTAAAACTAATTTTATTGCAATCAGCGAATAAGCAATAAACTATGGAAAGACATTGTTCAACATCGAAAAATTACCAGTTGATACCTATGCTTGCAACGATTGCTGATACCCATATGAATAACAATATTTAAGTATTTATTAACGTTTGCATCTACCTCTAAAAGGTGTTCCAAGTTTATGACGATTTCGACTATCAAAAAGCTCCTAGCGACTGATGGCGTATTTGCAACCATTCATGAGAAATTGGGGTTTTAAGCTTGACTGGATAAAACCTAACGAAGCAAACTGTTATCGGAGTCTTCTACCGAAAAAAAGAAACAATCAGATATTTTGCTTCATTTTCCAGATATAACCTAAACATCGACACACCCACACAATTTACATTTTTGATTATAACTTTGAAACGATAAGGAGTTGAAAAGGTCCTGGATGGTCCTTCAAAGGATATGAAATGCGAAAATATTCAGTACTTCAGCAAAATGTATTTCAAAAATAGGGCTTGATGAGAAAAAGAGTCAACTTCATTTTGAAAAGACTTTCAGGACTCAACGACATGTGCTTCGACCAATACATAAGACTGTTTTAAACTTTTACTTTTTTATGTTTGCTTCTATCGCTTTATAGGTTAAACACCGTGATTCAAAATCGGCGTCATTCTTCTGGGGGTGTTTAGAGAGTACAGAAAAAATAGTAAAAAATGTTAATTCGTATCAAAAACTGAAATAATTGCAAAAAACTCGATCAGAAGGTCGGCAACAATGTTTTCAAGGTAATTTGCCTCATTAACATTACGTAAATACCTGTTATGTTTTTTAAATATAAAAAGCTCAAGTGAAAATGAAATAGGTTAGGGTAACCGGAAAATTCAACCAATTTCAACAATACCTCCTATAAAAAGTGCTCTCTGAACTACTTACAATTAAACCTACGGTAAGGGAAGCAGAAAAAAGTCAGTATCATACAACTAAAAAATTCCACAAATTCCGGTTTATTTTGCCCTCCAACTGTCTAAAAGTTTGGACTCTGAAAAAATTTTCCCTACGTTATGTCGAAAAGGTTCCAATAATTTTTACAACCTTTTTTAATCTAAATCTTTATAGCTTTTAAATCCAATTTTGAATAACAATGTTTCGAAGTCTCAGAATGTAATTTTTTCTCCATTGTTACATATTCTTTTGAGTTCCCCTATATGTATTCACAAGATGATGTTTAAAAGTATCCTGCATGTATGATTATCAACAGAATTACCGAATCTCATATTGAGTATTCGAAAATGTAATAAAATTCGAATAGACGATTTATTTTGACGAATGCTTTTGAATAATCATTTGTAGTACTTAATAGTAAATTTGCACGTGTTGATGCAACGTATTCCAAGAAACGTTCCAAAAACGTTACAGGCGTGGCATTAAAGTTACAAACCTGGAACACACTAGCAAAACATTATTTAATCTAAATTGGGATATGTCCTTAAAATAGGAATTATTACAGACGTCGCAAGATCTTACATACATATTTAAGTAGTCATTTAATGCGACATTTATGTAGAACAATCGAAAATATCTTAAGTTCACATTTAAATGTGAATCAAACAATTTTAAACCTTAGTTCAGAACAAAAACGTTTCTGCGTTTATATGGATTCCGAAAAAAAGTAACTTTTGTCATACGCAGCTGCTCGTTAATTTAATTTAATATATTTATATCTGCACACTATAACAAATTAACTTTTAGCAGTGAAATATCATCTGTAAAGTCGGACTTATTTTGTTTACGCAATGTTTTCTTTGGTGGATTTTTTAATGTATCGTCCTTTGCAACAGGGTACCGAATTAAATTCGGTATAAGCATACGATTATAATATCTTTGCCAAATAGCATGTGCACTTTGGAAAACTGTTGGCAAACTTACAAGTTTCCTTGCGGTGCTTGACATCTACAATTCTCTAAATTATTTATACCAAATAAATATTATCTAACCATTTAAATTGAAAGTTTTTGTAGTATTTCCGAAAACAAGTGACACAGSCTAAAATATTTTGGCAAAAAGAAAATACGATTGCCAATTCACTTGGGCAAAATGTGGTAAAGACACGAGATAACGGACTTGCATTACTTCTTAAAGTTACAGAAATTTAAATAAACGTTATATAAACAATGGAAATCTTTCGGTACCAGCAGATCCGTCGTGAGCTTTTGAAATGGGGAAGTGCAGATTTTGAAATGCACCAATCTCAGGCACCCCCAGGACTGGTTTCGCTCAGATCACACGCAGATCATTCTAATATCACATATCTCATCATAACATCACATCTAAAATCACATAATTTCAGGCTGAATTCAGCTGATGAGCGCGAATAGGCTCGAAACCGGTCCAGGGTCCAGGCCTGAGGTTGGTGCATTTCGAAATCTGCACTTGCCCATTTTATTAGTTATATAAGTTTGACGTCTTTTAAAGGGCACTTTACATACACTTCTAACAGAGAGAGAAAAACATTGTCAAAAAGTGAAATTGCTAGTGAGCATTAAAATTTGCGTTCAAGTAAAAGAAAAAGGAATGATCTTGTGAGTGAACTCAATAGGAAAGATATGAAAGAAAATAGAAAAGATATGAACAAAAAGTCCATGTGCATTGCTTAAGAGGAAGGTAGTGTAGGGTCAATTCAGAGGCTTCTAAAAAAAGAAACTTCTAAAGGGAGTGAATAGAGAAATAGCAGTCACTTCTGGAGGTTTCACAAGCCAACTACAACCGTTCATTCTCTCTATCAATAACCAATTTAAAAATTATATCCTTGAAGAGTGGAAGAAATTGATAGCAAAGTCAATTCTTATGGAACGACTAACGACATGAACTGAATATTGCTAGTATAAGTTATGTTAATAATAAATAAAAATTATGATCCGAAAGACACATTAAAATATACTTTTCTAAAAATCATCTTGCCGCTCGGTTGTTATAGTAGGAAAAATACGGTAGATTTTAAACTCTGTGTCTAACACTTGGAAGCATATGGAATCAGTTCTGCTTGCAGATATTACACAGGTGTGTTCTGGAAAATATTAGCAAAGAAAATGAATATTGGCAAATTCTATTAACTATACAGCTTGTTAAAAAATAGTAAATTTTCGTTTTCTTCTCTCTCGAATCAAAATGTCTATTTAGGAATAATAACCAATAAAAGTTTCGGATTATTTTCGACTCGAAATTGTTCAACGTTTTAATAATATTTCATTTTTATATATTTTTTAATCCTCTACTGATGAAAATAGCACCAATAAATGAATATTCAACCTATATAATTTGCTGCAATAATAAGATTGATAAACCCATTTCGACTTGATTAATGTGTTTCTATAAATTACATAATTAATCAATTCCAAATTTGAGATAAAATGGAATGCGGTTTAATTGATTCTATGCGCAGACTATATATAATCATATAAGCCAAAAATATGTTTGTTATGTATATTGGCAAATTCTATTAACTATACAGCTTGTTGAAAAATAGTGAATTTTCTTAATCTCTTCTCTCTCGAATTAAACTGTCTATTTAGGAATAATAACCAATAAACGTTTCGGATTATTTTCGACTCGAAATTGTTCAACGTTTTGATAATATTTCATTTTTATATATGTTTTAATCTTCTACTGATGAAAGTAGCACCAATAAATGAATATTAATACTATATAATTTCCTGCAATAATAACCCATTCCGATCTAAATACTGTATTTCTATTAATTAATTAATTCATTAATCAATTCCAAATTTCAGATAAAATGGAACGCGGTTTTATTGATTTTATACGCAGACTATAACTGAGACAATTCATTCCAGTAGCTTAATGGATTACATGAGTTTGGAACAATACCGCTTCTTACCCATATAAAATTGATCCGGTTATATGTTTTGTAAATAAGTATACGTGTTTTTCCAATATAGTAAACATGTTAGTAGGAGCCAGACATGTATCATGTTGCTAGTTTTGCCCTTCATTCAGCTACTTATTTGCTAATTGTTCAGTCATCTCGAAATAATGCATAAACGATAATATTTACTAATAAAGTGGTTTCGTCTGCGATAAAACACTTGAACATATCTGATTCAATTCAATATTTAGTGGGTTTTCAAGTTTCAACAATTTATATTAATTTATCATTTATATTCAAAAGAAGAGTTTTTTCGTGTCCGAAAATTCTAAACCGAAAGGGATTTTTGCGCGGCTTAAGCAGAC